GGGGGTGGGGTCGGGGGGGGTCTTTCCACTTTGACGACTAATGCAGTGCCTGCCTCTCCAGCACCGCGTCCCTCGGACTGAGGCCTTTCGAGCATAGGCCCTGCCGGGCCCCTTCTTTCGAGAGGCCGTATAGGGAGGGAGGGAGGGAGAGACGGGAGGGGGAGACTGCGGAACTGGGCGTTAAAGAGTTTGAGGAGCCAACGCTGTTAAATCGTACAAGCACTTGGGGGGCGGCGGGGGAAGGCCGAGAAGGAAACGGGCCTCGATATCTGGGTGGAAACACGGATTTAAACGGGGCGAGAGTCACCCAGACTGACAGCGCGACCAGCCCTGCTCGTTTTGAGGCTCCGTCTCCTCGCCACCCACCCGGTGGATTTGCCTCTCTTCCCCACAGAAAGAAAAGCTCTTTAGAAAAATAAAAGTTGGAGGAATCTTAAGTGCTTACGTAGCTGGAAAGTCCTCCACTACCATAGACCCCAAATAAGAGCTGCTGCTTTCAATGTTCAAATTATGCGAAAATATGATCTTTTAAAATTTCCATTTAAAACGTGTAAGATCACCATGTCTTTGCGTACAGTTCGAAGGAGTAGATGAGGCTTCCGCAGGGACGTAAGCCCTGGGTGGCTATCACTAGTGAGAGAGGTCAAGTAGATTCACCTTGGTTGCATCACGAAGGCCGTACGTTGCGACCATTTTTTTTGGTAGGAAATCTACCTTTAATAATCGATTAAATTGCAGTACCGCGGCTAGCGAGCATCTCCCAGGCTCTGCCCGCGCCTTGTGGAGGTTAGCGGACTGCCTTGGCTTTCTTTGCCTATGGCCTTTTTCAGACCCAACTTCGAGACATATAAGAACTGATGAGCTGAAAAGACCAAGGATGATGTCTGCCTTTGCGGTTCTCTTTTACTGAGCAGAGGAGACACGCTGCCGCACGATTCCAGTTGTGTGGAAATGCTGGATTTCTTCATTGCTTTTTGTTGTTGTTCTGTGTGCCGTCCAGTCCCGTCCCCCCCCCCTCGACTTATGGCGGCTCCGTGAATGAGCGATTTCCCAAATGTGGAGGAAAGAATGCGCTATAAAGACACCCGGTTTTGATCCCTCCCCCAATTTTGAAACGAGAGGAGGACCGCTCTACACGTTTTCTATCTCTAGGGCCTGTGAAGTGAGGAGACTGCGCGGGGTCCTTGCGGACGGCTGCGCGCGGCGCTGCACGAGCGGCATCGCGATTGGCTGGCCGTTGCGGGCCCTCTCGGCGGACGGAAGGCGGCGGGAGAGGAGCGCGAGGGCTGAGAAGGGGCGGCCGGGCAGCATGGAGGAGCTGGACGTGGAGCCTTCCGTCACCGTGCGTGGTCGAGCCCTTCTGTTCTGGCGGCTGGGCGCGGGGTGGGAGCTCGGCTGGGAAGGACGGCAGCCGTCCGCGGGTCGAAGGCTTTGCCCCGGGCTTGTCAGCTTTAAAGAAGACCGTTTACAGTAGTATTATAAACAACAATAAGAAACCAAATTATTTCTTGTGCAAACCCCCCCCCCCCCCCTTACTCGTTAACTTGTA